GCCTGTTTGTGAGTTCGCCAGAGCGGGAATCTCAATCCCCATTCTACAGATGGGAAAACTGAGGCTGGGAGAGATGAGACTTGTCCAAGGCCCCAGAAAAAGCAAACAACAGTCAACTCTGGAAGAGAATGCTTGAATGATAGCTGCATGCCACCCCCATGGTAACTGAGGCCCAAAACTGGACCACACGGCTCCAGTAACACCGAGGGCTCGGCTTAGGGAAACCCCACATTCCCCAAATCACCAGAACCCATGGCTGGGGCAAGGACAACTTTGCCAGACTCCTTTCCACTCGGGCCCGTCTCCACCTACTCAAGACTCTCCCTGGATTCTCTCCAGTCTCACAGAAGGTGCAGGCTCCCCGGGGCTTGCCTGGCAGCACCTGGCACTGGCCCTTCCCTGGAGATTTCCTCTTCTGAGTATGCCAGGACCGTAAGCTCGAACATTTCCCAAGGACGACTCCAAAATAAATTATTTCAGACTTAACAGAGGCCGCTTAATAAATTCCACTCTTCCAGTTTCTTTGGGTATTTTAGAAACTGATTTATACATACAATATCTCTCTCAAAATGAGACAATCAACACAGGATAAAATTATTGAGTTATGAAAATAGGGGTCAGATGGAGGTGCAGTGCTTTAAATTAAACCGGCAAAATGTATCTTTCATACTAAATTGACTCTTTTTGTCTTGGAAATGAATGTTTAATCAGTTAAGACGCTAAAGTCGAGGGAGAAGCTTTAAGCATATTTAATTTTGTAAAAGGGGCCTGATTCCAATACTGCACAGGGTTCCTACCAGCAGCCATACCTTAAAAGCAGAAAAGCCGACAGCCACGCATGTCAGGAGGTCACCAGGCCAGGCCAGGGGACCAGAAGGAATCGGTGGCCTCTGGGACCAGAGCCAAAAGGGCCTGGCATAAACGAGATGGTTGTCAAATGCCCTGGCCTCACCCACCTCTCTAGGGATGACACCCCTGACTCACTTCAACCTGTGCAAATAGCATCTGTGACCTCCTGGCCATGGGAACAGCGTCCGTGCCGTCTGCGGCACAGCTGCTCTACCTCTCGGGCACCTGGTAAAACTGAGAGGTGCGTGGGGGCAGCCAGAGCTGGTCTTGAATTCCCGTTTTGTTTCTTAATAACTGTGTGACATTCAGTCGTTCACTCATTTGTTTATTCATGAAGTGTTTCTAGAACCTGCTATGTGTCAGCTCATCACTTCCTAAAGGTGCCTCTTCTGGGTACACACAGCAGAAACGGAGTTTTTGCCCGTCTCTCTGCCTGTACCAGGACTTCCTCAAGGACGTCTTGGAGGAGGCGCCCGTGTGGCTCTGTCACTTGAGCGTCCGACTCTTGGTTTCAGCTGAGGTCACGATCTCACGGTTCGTGGGATCGAGCCCTGTGTTGGTCTCTGTGCTGCCAGTGTGGAGCCTGCTTGAGATTCTCTTTCTCTCTCTCTCTGCTCCCCTCCTACTCATTCTCTCTCTCAAAATAATAAACTTTATACATATATATAACATAAATATGATAGGATATCACACACACGCATGCACATATATAAAGGGGACCTTACAGAGCCAGGGCTCAGACAATCCCTGGTGCTTATTAGGCTCTCAATAAAGGCTGCTGTACAGTTGACCACCATATGGTAGGCTGAAAACAGCCCCCTAAAAACGTCCGTCCTAATCCCTGGAATGTGCATTTGGGGGAAAAATTTGCAGGTGTGATTATGTTAAAGCTCTTGAGATGGAGGGATTATCGTGGGTTATTCCTAAATGCTATCACAAGCGTCCTTACAAGAAAGGCAGAGGAGAGCGTACAGAGGAGGCCATGTGAAGACAGGCAGAAGTTCGAGTGTTGTGGCCACAAGTCAAGGATGGCCAGCAACCCTTAGAAGCTAGAAGCAGCAAGGGATGGATTCTCCCCAGAGCTTCCAGAAGGAATTCACCCCTCCAGACACCTTGATGTTAGGTCCAGCAACACTGATTTGAAGCTGTAGCCCCCCGAGCTGTGAGACAATCAATTTCTGGTTGTTTCAAGCTACCATGTTTGTGCCAATTTGTTAGAGCAGCCACAGAAAACCAGTACAATCACCTGCCTGCTCCACACCCCCCTGTTCCCTTATTGTGATGCCACATTTGGTTCCTGGGAGCCGCATGTGAGCAGTTTGTAAAGCCCTCTGCACCGTGCCTGACACCTAGCAGGTGGCGAAGAAATTCCCAGCCCCACCCGCGGTGTGCACGTCTGTATGCACACACACACCTGCGTCCTACAACTCAGACAAATTCTAAGAATGTGTCTCTAAGCCTGCCTTGTCCCTCTTTACCACACAGTCCCAACGCATGGACATATGCTTACCCGTTTCCTGTTTGGTCCGGTAGCCCTCCCCTGGGTAAGACAGTTTGGCTTATTTTTCATTATATAATGAGGGAATATAAAACTCAGCGAACCCTTGAAAGCTAATGAAAGAATTCAAGCTTTCTGAATTTGTAAAGTGTCTTTAACATGAGCTAGTTTCAAAGAAATCTGGAAAATGACTCAAAGTGCCTATTTGGACCGAGCCCAACCAAAACAAATCCTAGGAGTGATCAGAAGGTCATTTTTGGTTAATAGACAGGCATTCTTTGTGATTACGAGAGCTACTGTAGCCAGGTGGCCCTACAACGGTTCCTGAGAATATGCGGTCTGTTCCTTTACGTAAGTGAGATTCACGGGAAAACACTGCCATTTGGTTACGGTGGGAATTCACCGTCATTACTGCTAATACTAACAAATACTCCCTGATGGTTTGCTCCTTGCCAGGCACTTGCTAAGACTGCACGCGTGATCTGAGATACACTTCACTGCGGCCTTGAGGCGGGCACTGCTATGATTCCAAGATAAGGAAATGAAGCCCGGGGGGTGGAGGCAGGATCTAAGGCAGGTCTGTGGGACTCCAGAGCCCCACACGCTAGCCACTAACCCACACTGTCTCCCCTGCCCACCACACCAGAGGCCAGCAGCATGGGGCCCAGGACTATGGCCATTCTCATCCCTGCATTCGCAGCCCTCCCCGGGACACACGCCAGAGGCGTCTGCTGGCCCCACCCTGGCTTGTGTTACCATAATTCCCCAAAGACATGGTCTGGAGTAGTGATGTCTTGTGAGCAATCAGCGGCGCAGGCAGCTAAGGCACAGCATTCTATCAAAGAGGAATTAAAACCATATGGCTCTGGAATCCTGAGGTCTCACAGAGCAGAAGAAACCAAGGACCTGCATTATTGATGGGCCCCAAAGACAAGTATTCCTTAAGAAATGCCATTTCCACTGAGCACTTGCGTCAGACCCCGCACATTGTACGATGTGGAGCTTCAGCTGGCTGCCTCCCTCTCCCCCCACCCCTCCCTCCTTTTACTTCTCCCCTGGATTCAAAGAAGAAAAAACTGTGATACAGTTTACAACAATCCATAGAGGATACCAGCTTTTTTTGTTTTTCTTAAAAGCAAGGAGAGTTGGTGATAGTAAGAGTAAGAATAAATAAAACACAGCAAAGAGTCTTAGAATATACACTGTGTGCCCGAAGGTCCCGGGCATCGGCTAGAAGCGGGCCACACACGTGGCTGTGGCCTCTCAGTACCCTCTGCAGAGATAAACACGATCAACCCAGCACCATGTGATTCCGACAGGAGATCTGTGTGGTCCTCCTCCCTTGCTACTGGTGAGTTTGTGACCCAAGCTGACAAAACCGAAGACTGCTTCCTCCTGGACACGATGGTTGGTCAAGCCGTGCTCCGTTGTGGTCCTCCCTGGAAGACCCAGACTGCCACTTGCCAGAGGTGTCAGGGAAGATGGTGCTTACCAGCAGCCACCATGCCTGCCGTGTGGCAGTGGCATAGGATAGGGCCCTAAGGACACTACTGGGGTTTCTGGATCCAGCCATGCCTGAAACCCCTGTCTGCCCCTGGATATTTGAGTCCTTTTGCCTAAGTTAGTTTGAGTTTGGTCTCTGCCACTTAGAAATGAACTTAAGAGTTGTGACTAGTATATAATATTAACTGTGAAGGAAAAAGCAAAAATAAACAGAAATCGTGGTTACTCAGGAGAAGTACTAGAATTCCCTTTAAGGGCCTTTTTCTATTATACAAAAATGCTCTGCTAGTGTTCTGTAGATCTTGAATGTTCAAATCAGCCATGATGCTAAGAAATCATACATTTCCTTAGCATGGGATTCAGGACCCTTGTGATCCAGGCCCTGCTAGCTCTTTCACCTCCTCTTTTTCTCTTGCTCCAAGTCCTTTCTCTCCAGCCCTATGAAGAAAATGAACCACATGTTGTCCCCAAGCATGACACGAGCCCACGTGCATCTTGCTTTGGTACATGCTATTCCTTCAACCTGGAAAGTACTTTCCTATCTTCGTCTGCCTGCTGCATTTCTATTTATCCTGAAAACTTTAACTCAGCAACCACCTTTGTCCCTGGCAGCTTAAACAAGATACAAAATATTTTTAAAATATTATGATTTTATTTATCAGAATAGGCAGATATCTAGAAATAGAAAGTAGATCAGTGGTTACCTAGAGCTGGGGGCTGTAGCGGTGGGGGTGCTGAGAATGATGACTAAGGGGTAGAGTTTCTTCTCAGGGTGATGAAAATGATGCAAAATGGACTGTGTTGATGGTCGCAACCCTGTGTAACTAACACCTACTGGGTCGCATACCTTAAATGGGTGTATTGTATGGTGTGTGAATTATATCTCAATAAAGCCATTATAAAATAAAAATAAAGATGAGATTATACTATTAGAAATAATGACAAAACGAATAATACCAAGATATTATAAACAGAGTTCCAGAAGTTTCCTGTGTGAAGACATAAATGACCCTCCATGCCCAGCCCTCATATTCCACAGACCCCCACGCAAGCATCGGAGCCCACACCTGGCACGCAAGCATTCTGCTCCCTCCTCAACCCCCTTCCCTACTGTAAGTAGCAGGATCCATGGTGGAGGACAGGGACTCACCGTGGGCAGCTGGCCTGATAGCAGGTGGCTGTCCTGGGCCAGCATGTTGGACACCATGATGGCCGGGAGGTCCATGGCCTGGTAGGAGTAGGCGGGGAGGAGTCCGTTGGGCGTGAGGCCGTGGCACAGTGAGTGGTAGCCAGCTTCGTGGTCCCCCAGGTGCAGGAGGGATGGCTCAGGGAGGTTGGGAGGTGTTATTGGGGGGATCTCATAGTCTTCGTTGCTCTCGCTCTGGCTGCTGTAGGTCTAAAACATCAAAAGGGCATGTAGTTGGGAGTCAGTGTCTCACAAACGCAGAAGATGCTTAATAGCACCAATAATAGCAGCAACAATGGTAACAACTTCTTCAAAGGGAAGAAGGAATGATCCCTCTGCAAGGCAGACAATCAAGATGGCCCGATGACTTGGTCAGATTCCTGCCCCATCTTTAGATGAGTGCTCCTTACCAGAGAGTCTGTATACAAAATCCTGCCCTCCCGGAGAATGGGACCAGCTCTTGTTCCCCTCTCTCCTTCATTTTCCCATCAGATCTGGTCACTGCAGCCCACCGTGAGTCCATCTTCCTATACCCACCCATTTTACAGATGGGAAAATTCAGGGCCAAGAGGAAAGTGGCAGGGCACCTGGCTGGCTCTGTTGGAAGAGCCTGTGCTTCTTGGTCTCAGGGTTAAGTTCAACTTCCATGTTGGTGTGTAGAGATTACTTAAAAATAAAATCTTAAGGAAAAAACACCAAGAGGAAAGTGGCCTACCCAAGGTTAGTTGAAGAGCTGGGATGGAGCTGAAGTATCCTCAACTCTGCCTGGTAGTCTCCCACAGCAGTTGGATGCCTTTTCCTTATGTGTCCTGAACACCCAGTTCAATCAGATCCCCTCTCGGTCTTTCTCATCTTGACAAATGGCACCAAGATCCCTCCAGGAGCACAAGGTAGGAGCTATACTGGATACCTTCCTTTCTAATCCTTGTTTGTTTGCATTCAGGACAATGCTGAATAGAAACGATGGAAGTGGGGACCCGTGCTTTCTTCCTTAAATACTTCAGTGTTTTACCACTAAGTACAGTGTTTGCCGTAGGCTCTTACAGGAATTCTGTAGCAGACCGAGGGCATTCCTAGTTTGTCAAGGTGTTTGTTTTTCTTTCAAGTGTGCATGGGTTTTTATTATTGTTGTTTTACTTTTATTGGACTCTCTCTCCCTATATCTAATGAAAGGCTCAAGTGACTTTTCTCCTTTAATACAGTTAATATGGTAAATTACTTCACTTGGTTTAACATTAGAAAATGTTAAAGCAACCTTGCATTTCTGGAATAAACTTGGTTGTGATGTATTACTATTTTTATGCATTGCTGGATCTTGATCACTGACATTTTGTTTAGGGTTTTGGTATCTAGTTCATGAGTGAAACTGGCCTGTAGTTTCCCTCTTTCCTTCTGCCCTTATTGGGTTTTGGTACCAAGGTGATGTCAATCAGGGGGAATCACTCCCCTTTTCTATATTCTGAAAGAGGTCAGGGGTCAGAGAAGAGACGTATAAGAAAACTTTTAGGAAAGAAAAATTAGGAGACAAAGTGAGGGGGTCCTGAGGACACCTGTTCAATCAGCATTCTGGAAGGGGAAGAGCGACAGAATGGGGAAGAGGAGTAAGTGAAGAGATAATGGCTGGGAATATTTCAGAACTGAAGAAAGACATCAGATGTACTGGCGAAAATAATGGTAAATCTTAGAACAATCATAATACATAATGTGTAAGGGGACCCCACAATACCAAAGTGGAATATGAGAAATGACATCTTCCAACATCCTTGTTTTCTATGATAAGTTAAATATGTCTGTTAAAATAACTAGGGTAGGTGAAGCCCAACACAATATCTGCTTCCTGGTAGGTTGGCTCCCAGCAAATACTTGTTGGATGAGGCCACTGAGTGGTAAGGATAAGTAGGATTTGAGTAGAGCTATGGTGAGAGCAAGGAGCATGTGGTATCTAAACACCTGCTTGGTGTCAAACTTTTCTCCTCAGGCACTATGTTTGAAGCTCCCCGCAGCTGCCCCGGGGAAGAGTCCTGCACATCTACAGAGATGTGCTCTGAGACGGTAAGTGCCTTGCCACACTCACACCCATCCTTAGACCCAGAGCCCAAGCCACCTTTTGCTCACTGGCTCCCTCTGCCAGGGCTTCTGTGGGCTTATTTCACAGATGAACAACGTGCAGTCCAGGAAGAAGTGATCGTGCTGGTGGCAAAGGACTTTCACAACCATCAGGAATAGGACCTAGTCTTCTGCCCCCAAGATCTGGCTCCTTCCCATCACATGACACTGCTTCCAAGATCTGGACCAGGATGGGGCAGGGAAGGCTTGCACAGGTTTGGGGACTGACCCCTGCCTCATTGCTCCATATGTACACTCTAATCTCTTTATGGCATGATCATTGCCCCTCTCGGGACTCAATTTCCCTATTTGCATAAAGAGAAGGGAGGATGGACTCATCTCAACCATCTCAAGCTCCATGGCTAAAAATTAGCTACTCAATCAATATTTGTGAGATTGAATCTAATTTAATGGGGGACCCACAGCTGGTACCTGAGATTAACAGAATGGCTAGGAGAGGGGACCCAAGGAAGACTCAGTCGCTCCTGATGAAGCTCAACACATAGGTGGAAACCGTGTCCTGGTAGGTCTCAGGTCTGCTGAAAACAATTTTCTCAAGCTTTTTTTTTTTTTTAATCAAGAAATATAAATATCTAGCATTTATTGAGCATATAGTATATGCCAGGTGCAAGCACTTTACAAAATTTAATGAATTAATTCTTACAACAACCCAATGAAGGAGGTTTCTGGTATTATATGCCCATTTTATAGGTAGAGAAACTAAGACACAGAGAGAAGAATTTACTTGCCCAAAGTCACACATTTGGAAAGAAGCCTCACTCCAGTCACCTCCCTCTTCATCCAGTTTATACTGTCTCCAAAGGAAAGTAATGTTTCCTTGCCTGTGACACAGATCCCAGAAATCTGGGTCCTCATAATCCTTAGTGGCAGTGCCAAGTCATGGCCAAATTGAGGGGTTGGGGACCAAGAAACAGGCTTTGATCCAGCCTTGTTATTGAGGAGCTTAGCAAAGCAACACCTCCTTCTAAATGGTGAAGATCAAGCCCCAACCCCAACCCTCTTCCCTACCGTCTCTTACCTAGAATAATAACTCTCTTGATTCTTGAAAACCCATCACGCAGGGTGTTTTATTTTTTTTATTTTATTTTTTTTCAGTTGGAAAATTCTTTTTTTTTTTTTTCCATATAACACCCAGTGCTCATCCCCACAAGTGCCCTCCTCCATGCCCATCTCCCCCCTCCCCCCAACACCCATCAGTCCTCAGTTTGTTCTCAGCATTCAAGAGTCTTTCATGGTTTGCCCCTCTCCCTTTCCCCCACCATTTCCCCCCTTCTTCTCCCCCATGGTCCTCCGTTAAGTTCCTCCTAATCCTCCTATACGTGCAAACATATGGTATCTGTCCTTCTCTGCCTGACTTATTTCGCTCAGCATAACACCCTCAAGGTCCATCCAGGTTGCTACACATGGCCAGATTTCATTGTTTCTCATTGCCATGTAGTATTCCATGGTATAGATAAACCACATCTTCTTGATCCATTCATCTGTTGATGGACACTTAGGCTCTTTCCATGTTGTAGCTATTGTTAAGAATGCTGCTATGAACACTGGTACATGTACTCCTATGCATCAGCACTCCTGTATCCCTTGGGTAAATTCCTAGCAGTGCTAGTGCTGGGTCATAGGGGAGTTCTATTGTTAACTTTTTGAGGAACCTCCACACCGTTTTCCAGAGGGGCCGCACCAGTTTACATTCCCACCAACAGTGTAGGAGGGTGCCCGTTTCTCCACATCCTTGCCAGCATCTAGAGTTCTCTGATTTGCTCATTTTAGCCACCCTGACCGGCGTGAGGTGGTATCTCAGTGTGGTTTTGATTTGTATTTCCCTGATGAGGAGGGATGCTGAGCATCGTTTCATGTGTCTGTTGGCCATCTGGATGTCCTCTTTGGAGAAGCGTCTGTTCATGTCTTCTGCCCATTTCTTCGCTGGGTTGTTTGTTTTTTGGGTGTGGAGTTTGGTGAGTTCCTTATAGATTTTGGATATTAACCCTTTATCTGATATGTCATTTGCAACTATCTTTTCCCATTCCGTTGGTTGCCTATTAGTTTTATGGATTGTTTCCTTAAGCAGGGTGTTTTACATGTGTGCCATCTCCATTCTGTCTTTGCTCCATAATTTCCTAGGCACGTGACACAAAACTAGAATGTGCTCCTAATGCCCCAGGCATGTCTATAATGACCTCCTATGTTTCCCTAATTACAAATGTGTGTCTAATATGACCTCGGATAGCTCTCTAAACTCCCGAGGTGTATCTATCTCCTTAATTCTCTAGGTGAATCTACCTTGACATGGATGTCTTCCAGGTTCTCCCAGGTTCCCCAGTTTTCCCAGCTTTATTAAGATATAATTGACATATAATTAATCTCTAATTCTTAAAAGAATCCCATATTTATCCCCATTTGACAAATCAGAAAAACAAGATCTAGAGCCTTCACCCAGGTTACACTAGGAGGGAATAAGGTCTGATCTGCACACTCTTCAAGGAGTGCAACTTGACACAGCAACCTCTTCAAGGAGTCTCCAGGTGCCATTCCCCCACTGAGACTCTGTCCACTCCCCAAATAAATACATTCTGAACACTCCATGCTCAACAACTAGTACACCTCTACTGGAGTGTGTGTGTGTGTGTGTGCGCGCGCGCATGTGCGTGCTTGCACGTGTGTGCACATGTGTGGAGGGGTGAGGGAGAGAGAATCTTCTAAATATCTTAACATGGCACCCTGGGGGGTATGAAAATGATTTTTCAGGTTGTATTTTGATGCACTTTGGCGCATATATGTGGGTGTCAATGTAATTTTGCCCTTAAGTGCATCTCCACCAAGACAAGGTGCCCACAGGTCAACTGGTATTCTGTTATGGTTAAGGGTATGAGTGGTACAGGGGTTGGTGAAGGGAGATGACTATAGGCAGGGGGCAGAGAGGAGAAGGGGCCAGGGTACCCCCAAGTAATCAGAAATGGGTGGAGGAGAGAAAGCACTCTGTAACCCTTTTGCTCCTCTATGCCTAACACCTTGCTTGTAAAACCCCCATCATGATATGAACCCAACTACCCACTGCTTCTCACCTTCACCAAGATAGATGAGCA